AGGGCTCATGTGGACCAGCACCTACATCTGGGCCTCTGTGGGGACCCTACAGGAAGTGTAGAGGTTATATCAGACGTTCCCATGGATCTGGATTTAGGGTTTGGGAATTGGGGCTTAGCGTTTTGGGCTGGGTATATCGCGAGTATTTTGGGCAGGTATATTTGTGTGTACGGTTTTTTTAATGCCACTTATCTAACATGAAACTCTAGAAAGAGACAAACACTCTTTACCAGGAGCTTGCGTTGGGTTGCAGTTTGTAGGGGGAAGATCGGTTTTTTTCTGGTGATCCCTATGAAGATCCTCCGCATAATCCACAGAAGTCGAATATTTGCTGTTGATATTACCCTAAACCCTAAGCCCTCTCTAACTTGGAGGTGAGCGACCGAGCTGAAGGTCAGCTTCTGCAATTCCATCCCAGACGATCTAAGTCTGAGTTAAGTCCCTATGGTTAATCACAAACCGCAAGAATTCATGTTGAGTTCGTATCATGTAAATTCAAGTCCTCCATAGCACCAAACCCGCAACCTTGAGCCCTCAACGCTAGAATCCTTAACCCGAAGCCTGATACCCTACACCTGAAAGCCCGAACCCTAAACCTGAAAGCCTGAACCTTAAACCCTACATTTTCGAACGAACAAATTTTCAGAGCCTGCAACGCCATACCCTGCCCTAAACCTTAGATCCCAAACCTTGAAGCCGAAGCTCTCCTCAAGTCTAAAGCATAGGCCCTACACTTTCAACATCAAACCCTCCTTATAGCTCAAGCCTGAACCCCCCCCCAAACACAAAGCCATAAAATTTAGATCTTAAGCTTGAAACCTTTCACCCTAATTAGAAAAACCTCAATCCTAAGCCCCGGACCCTAAACCGTCAACCCCAGACCCTAAACCCTAAACCCCGAACCGTAAACCCGAACCACTCTAAACCCTCTAAGCCCTAAACCCTAATCTCTTAACCCAGGCTTCCCCAGCGGCTCTTCAGGAATGTCGCTCAGGCTTGGACCGAGATACTTCACTCCTGGCTGTTAGAACCTTGTAACCCTGAGGGCTTAGGATTAGGGTCTTAGGGTTTAAGATTTAGGGTTTATGGTTTCTGGTTTAGGGTTTAGGATTTAGGGTTTAGGGTTTCGGGCTTCAGATGTAGGGTTCGGGGTTTAGAATTTACGGTTTGGGGTTTCCCCCTAACACCGAACCACCCCGGCCCAGCTGAATCTTAGATATTCCCATTGCGGTATGCGAAAATGTATTGGGAAAATCAATATCGGGGGGGGGAGGGGTTGGGGGGTTGTAGATATTTCTGAAGTGGTGGGATGTACGTTTTCGAGCTTGGGGTTTCGTGTTAAGGGTTGAAGCCTTGAGGTCGCCAATACCGAAACCGTAAATCCTAAACTCTAAACCGGCTTGCCCAACTTCAGCATCCTTGTTTTGGGAAGTACGGTGTTGTGTGATTTAGGGTTAGGGTTTTGGCTCCTTCAGGGCTCGCTTCTCTAGGGATTGGGGTTGGGGGTTCTTTAGGCTTTGGGNNTTAGGGTTTGGGGTTCTTTTGGGTTTAGTGTTTGGGGCTCTGTAGGGTGTGGGGCGTTTTGAGGTTTTATTCAGCGGCCGTGCATATGAAATCTCGGACAGCAAGCACATCAGAAACGCGGAGCATACAGACCCATGACGGACCCTGTCACGCCCTTTTGAAGTTTAGGGCTTCAGGCAGTGAATAGCACATGTTGCATTTAGGGTGTTGTTGTGTGTTTTGGGGGTTTTGGTGTTCCTGCTCATCTTACGGATGATACCTACCCTATGTCTTCTACTGCTGAGGCTGTGGTTGTTGCTGCTGCTGTTACACTATGTTATTCCTACTACTACTGATACTTCTGCAGTGTCCGTGACACGTATGCTTGAGAGAATCACCAGGTCGGGCTTTTGAGGAGAGAGCTACTAGAGGTGTTCAATTGGTCTCAGAGGTCTGGGGGTTGGGGTTCCAAGCCCGAAGCCCACGAAAGACGGCCCCGCTTTTTAAATCAAAGACGGACTGAACAAATTGTAATTACTAAAAGCATGTTTGCAACCAAATATGGTGGCAACCGTACTGGCAAGCATTTGCATGCCTTATCCCTCAATCAACAGCGAGCTAAGACCCCTTCCTCTCTAAACCTCTGCAGTCCTTAACTAAGTGTGCCATTTGTCGTAGACTTCCGGACGCCTGCACCTAAATTCTGCACATCTCTCCCAAACTCTACGCGGGCCTAAACCTCTAGACCCTCCGCCCCCCCAACCTGNNCCCCCCTCCCCCCCCAAAAAAAACTGTCGTCAGCTTGAAAGCCGGAAGAATGTAGGGAAGTGCAGGTGCAGGTGATGCTGGATAGAAGCTGCCCAGCGCAATGGGTTCCCGATGCTTTCCTCTGGACCACCCTCTTGCTGCTGCTCTGCTGGATGGCTGTGTGCTTCGAGGCCCGGGACGTCCCAACTACTTCACGGGGGTTATATAGGGGATTACACAGGAAACTACTATGCGGGTTATCCAGGGAGATACTTAAAGCGGGTCGAAATTAGCCCTAAACGTTTGAAGTCCAGGACGTAGGATCAAGAGCTGGAATAACAGAAATCATCCTGATCTACAATTCAAGTAGAGTCCCTCTTTGCAGCTTCTCGGCTTGAGTACGCGTGCGCTCACCGGTTGAGCGCCAAGTTAGGCTCCAAGCCCTAAGTAGATTGCTGTCAAGGAACTCAAATTAAGTTACCATAGTGGGTATACGTAGTAATTAATATGGTTTCACCAATACAGCAATAATTCCTTAACATCAACCCAGCCAAGCGCAATCACGTTCACAGGCTGCATGGGCACGCCGCTGCACCAAAGGATCTCAGAAGGAGAGGTAGGGTTTGCACCTGAACTTTAGTCTAAACTCCTATATGGGGATAAATTGGGGCTTATATGGGAGAGGATTATGGGGTTGATTCAGGAGGATACTAGGAGTTAGACTATAGCTCACATGTGATTAGCTTATTCGGCCTGTGACTTTACGATTTAGGGTGTACGCTGGGCAACCCCCAATCCTGAACCCACGGATGCTTCAGAATTCGCTGGCAGCAAGTTGCACTAAGTAGTTACAGACGGTTCACTATGCTCTACCATTCCTTTTCAGAACCTTGCTACTGCCATCAAAAAGCTTGCGAAAGCAATTCTGAACTATCAGACGTTTAACGTTTAACGTGAAGGACAACATGTTACTTATGTTTGCTTCTCGCGTTCCCTTGGCATTTCTGTGTGGAGAGGAATGCTGAGATTGAAGGAAAGAGGGGCAAGCAAGGGGCGTGAAGTATCATTACTTCACTCGGGAGGGAGTTTAGCCATTCCTGCTGCAGAATTTTAATTCCTCACTTCAACCGCCCCTGTATAAGCCCTTGAAGGCACACCTATTTTGAGAAGCTCCAGTCTTCGTGGAGAACAATGCGTTAGTAAGCTTTAGTAGCCACCCAGACCCCTAGTAGGGTCATATTATGATAGTTTCTTTTGGAGGGTTGGGGTGACAATAATCCATTTCTTACTCCTCAATTGACCTAATTAGTTTCCATGTAATTTTCCATTTTCTTGTCCAATTGATTCTCCACTAAAATTGGGGGGTAATTATCCCTAAACCGTAAACCCTAAATAAAGTAGTACATCTTCTACTCCATTGCATGAAACCTCGGGAAATTGGCCAGGAGTCACCAGACCTCCGGGCTTTACACTTGAAGATTGCCACGCCGATGAGGGTGCTGCGGCCGCTTGGGGAAAACTTGAACCCTAAACCGCAAACTCGGAACTCAAATTGAGGTTTCAAGTTTTGAGGTTCATGGCTTAAGGGCATTCAACCCCAAACCCTAAACCCTAAACCAGGATTCATGAGGCGCTTCATGGGATGATGGACTAGCGGCTCAGGATCCATAGCTAGGTGGTTGGAGGGTCGGACCTTTGAGGCTTCAAGGTTGCCACATGAGTTCCTGGGCCTGAACCCCCAAAGTATGTAGAGTAATGGCCTTTTTACTATTTGTTGGTTTTGGGCCGTTATTTTCCTTACTGTTGGGGTCCAGGTAGTCCAGGTAGAGACATCCCATCTACAAGTGGATAGCTCTCAAGTTTTTGATTTTCGGGGCTCATATGAAGCGCGATTATGGCTTTGTTTATTTGTTTGTGTCTGTGCTAGAGGTGTCCTAAGTACTGGGGCCTGCAAGACTGTTTTCTAGTGTTGATGCGCCGCAGCATGTTTCTAGGATCCTCATAGACTTCAAGTAGTCCTAAACCCTAAACCCATGTAAAGGAACAGCAGTCTTTCCAGGGTCTCTTGGGTTTCATGTTGGCCTAAGAGGCGTCTGCCCTTGCGAATCCGCCCTCAGAGCCGTGGGCTCTAAGTTGGGGCCTAGCTGCCAATATACTTACTGAGGCTCAGTAGGGAATAAGGGCATGTACTATACATGGGTTCGACAGGAACTATTGTCCCTTTAAGAACCAGTAAGTGTATACTCACTCTACAAACCGACTTCCCTCACCATTGTCCATGTTCTTTCCCGTTTGATCTCCCTTATTGATTCACGTCTAACATTTAGCATTCAATAAGGAAGTCTGCTGCAGGGGTCCCTTCCAAAGCTGAAGCCCAAAGCTTCATGAAGACATGAAACCAACAAATCGTGTTGGACTCAGGGTACTTGGGCTTCTGTAGTGGCTTCTGTAGTCACAATTCTTGGTACGGATGTGACCGCTCAGGGCCTCATTGGCCAACCAAAGCAGATGATACAGGAGTCTCTCACAACTGAGGTCGCTGTTTGTGGACCCGCATAGCGATGGCAAGGTAAGGAGAAAATCCATAATCTTATTCAATAATAGGCCAAACGTCACTGGCACGTAGTAGGACTACATAGTAGTAGTCATGACCGTATATAGATGACAATAGCTGGTTTGATTGGTACTTGGCCCTGGAATCTCTGCCCAACTTCGACTGACCTAAACCCTAAACCCTAAACCCTAATAAGGAAGGGAGGCGCAGCGGCCTTAGGCTTTGTGATGCTGATGATCACTACGCACCTCAGCTAAATGGGGATTTCCCAAAATTAGGGGTACCTTTTGGGGGTCCCCAAAATAAGGACTATAGTATTTTAGGTTCTATATTGGGGTCCCCTTATTTTGGGAAACTACCAAATGGGTCTGGGGGAATTCCGTGTGCGGGGTTTAAGTTGCTTTAGGTACCTAAGGTTTGGAGGTTTGGGGTATAGGGACTACACCCATCCTGAACCCAGGACATTCCATTTCCTGCAATGTATGGGGGTTTCCCAAAATTGTGGGTACCTTTTTGGGAGTCCCCATAATGAGGGTTGTAGTATTTTGGGGTCTATATTCGGGTTCCCCTATTTGGGGAAACTACCATATAGTTTGACCTTCACATGAAGGCTGTTTACTCGGGGCCTGCATGCTGGAGACCTGATAAGGTGTGTTTCTAAACATTGCGGGTCCCTTTTTGGCCATGGGGGTAGTCCTCACATAGGATTGTCTTAATTTGGAGGTTTGGAGGGGCGTACGCGAGTGCAGGGTAAGGCAGCATAATCCATATCTAGCTGCGTAGTGAAAACAGCACAGTAAGCCCCAAAATTCACCCTTGACTAGGGAGCACTTGCCAGAATCATAATTTTCCCTTAGTGCTTTATAAGTGGAACTGTTCACAAATACTTTGTGGGGTCATCAAGGTACCCAGTGGAGTTTGCTTTTTGGCCTTGCTGGCAGGCCGCGTTGCGCCCCTTAGCTCCTTCCAATTCCAAGGTGGCCTAGAGGAGATTCCAGAGAGTGAGTATCCCGTCGACGGAGAAATGAGGGTATATCGTATATTGGGGTAATATTGGGATAATGGAGAATCAAATGGAAACGAAAATGGAACATGAAATGGAAACTGGGATTATATTGGGGTTATATTGGGTTTATATTGGGATAATGGAGAATCAAATGGAAACTACTACATATTTCTGCGTTGCAACTTCCTTGCCTTTACTGTATAGGCTCAAGGTAAGGCGTACGATCGAAAGCTTTGTAGCGTTTCAGGGCTTAAAGTCTGGGGACCCATCCCTGGTGTGGAGCCTCGTTCCTTCACCAAGGCAGAACATTGCTGTGGTGAAAGCCGTTGAGGCTGGATATTCAAGTTTGCAACACGGTGCAGGGTGTAGGGTTTAAGGACTTTCGTGAAAACAGGGCCATGCACATATCTGCGCCAGAATGCGGCCCCAATTAGGATTCAACTGGCGCAAGACAAGATTTTCAGAGAAATTGGGGTAGTTGGTTGCCAGTAGTAGAGTACATGTGTTGGAGTTCTGCGAAAATTTTCTGGTAAGCACCTTGAGGTATGTTTGCTACAAAGAAATACACAGAACTCTACGTTCATGATAGATGCGTGGAAGTGCTCTCAGAAGCGTAGTCCAACCTGAGGGACATAGCCCTTATAGTTCCAGCCCGACCATTAGCTTCACTGAGGGTGAGCCACGCGGTTTAGGGTTTAGGGTTTAGGGCTTAGGGAACCTAAACCCTGAACCACTATGAAGCAGACGCATTGGAGGCATCCTATACTGATTGTGTGTCAGTTGAGCTAAGCCAGGCACAGGGACTCCACATGCTGAATAGCGTGAACATAGATACCATTATGGAGGATAGTTAGTTTGTAGGAATTGTTATAGGGATCCTCCTCCCAAAGCACCAATAAGTATTGGGGACGATATGTTCACATTGACATCAGGAAATAGCAGCTACAGGTATACTTCCTAAGTCTCCCTCAAGCCCCCCAGCATTGGACAGACTAGTACTCACAAGGTCTGAAGACGCGGATTAACATTCCCTGTGAAGCATATGAGATTCAAGCTCGCTCACTGCCTATTATTCTACACCTTTCTCCATGAGATTCTATAATGGTCGAGGATGATAGACAAGGGAGCCTGTTTCCCTGTCATTTCTAGGCGTGCTGGAGCCCGTTTCTCCGGCTTTTGATTTGATCCGTGTGGAATGCCGACATGAACGTGGTAGGAACTCACATCGTCAAGTCTGCATGACTTGGTATACTCACCCCTTTGGTTACGCTCAGAAAGGCTTGCCCCGATAATCCACCCCCCTCACCCCACACCCCAAAAAAATAAGAAAACATCCGAAACCTTCCAAACCTACACCCCAAAATCTGTAGGCCCCCTTCAGTAGATAGAATATGGCTTTGGGTATATTGTAATAAGATCCCCATGTACCCCATATTCTATCTACTTATGGGGGACTCTAAACCTTCTGCAGGCTCAGGTCAACGAGTACGTTGTATGGTTCCTAGTTTTCGCGGCTGGAAAGTCCTTGGGCCTCAGGTTTAGGGCTTAGGTTCTACTGGTTGGCTCTAGGTCCTAGGTGTTTTGAGGTAGGGGTCTAGGGTTAATCGTTTGGGTTTAGTGGATTCAAGCTTGAAGTTTCGAGGGTTAGGATTTAGAGCGTAGCGGCTAGCGTGTAGATTTTGGCGTCCGCCTTAGTGCACCTGTCTCAAAGAAATATCAGCCCCTATGCTTACTGCTATAGATGCATCTTCAACATATGACACCTTTTTCTGATGTACTAGATATCCGTACTGTGGTAACTTTATTCAAGTTCCTTAACCGCAACCCAGTAACCCTTCTAGATGCCAAAAAAGTAAAAAAATAACGCCGCCTAAGCCCCAGCTGCCCGGCTCAAAGCACAATTTACGCGAAAAGTGGTTTAGGTTTAGAGTCCTCAAGGTAAGTGGTCAATGCTAATGTCCTTTTGGGGGTGCCCATTCTAATCCGACCCCCAAATTTTAGGTCCCAAAAAGGGACCACAACACCTTAAACCCTAAACCCACAAACCCCCGCCCCCTAAACCAGGTTGAGCATTTTGGCAGTCTGGCGGTCTTTCCAGTCTATTTGCCACATCCAGCTAACAGAGGCGTACTTGGTGCATGCAAGGTGCATCGAGAATCTAGGTCATGGTTGAGGTACCAGGGTTCAGGGGTTAGAGTGTAGGGATGAAGGTTTAGGATGCACAAAACTACAAAACAAACCCCTTTAGACTGGCTCCTGGATGGTTTCATTATTGAGCATGCGGAGTTAAGTCTGAGCTTAAAGCCACCCGGCTAGGGGTACAACAAGCATAAGCTCGTCCGCCCTACAAGAAAAGAACAGTAAGATGGATACCCACATCTTCACAACACTGGTTCAGTCGTCCTAGAGCTTCTAAGATTCCAGTATTTCGAGGCGTTGGATTTAAGGGCTTATGGTTGTCCAGCTTAGGGTTTTTGACTGGTTGAGGGCTGCAGGGGTTTCAGTTTAGGGTGGAGGCCCGAAAATTGGAGGTATGAAGACGGTCTACATGGAGTGACGTGGGAGTTCCGGCTCAGTATGGATCACAAGACTCCCTTTGTAAGCAACACATATTCCAAATGGTATTCCAAATTTTCGAACCCCCTTCCAGCTAAGTCTGGGACTTTCAGAACTGAAGTATTGGATTTCCTTCGCTGAGCCGCTACAGTTGGACCATGTAGATGGCAACCAAACAACACTTGGTGCAGCTTGAACTGATGTGATTGTTGGAGGTCCTGTAGTTGGTGGAGAAAGTCATGATCATGCACGAACCCAAGTATAGTATGTTTCCAGTCTTCCCACGTCTATCAAGATTCGGTTCCTTATGCAGTTGTCCAATGTTAGAGCGGGTGCATTCTGTGTCCAACTTGCGGAATTATCAGACATACGCCCTAAACCCTAAACCCAGTCTCAGGAATGCACCAACCGTGGTGTACATGGACTATGCACTGGCCTTTGCCATCTTCTCGTACACCCTAATTGTCGGCATTAGCCTTGTGGCAACTTTTAGCAGCTTCACAGATGCCTTCAGACTGGTTGCAGTGGTTATTGGATGCTTTGCTGGTCCAGTCATCAGCCTCCTCCTGAAGATCAGGGCTAGCGGAGAGGCTGATGAAGTAGCCGCGTTAATGAAGATGGTGCCCGCGGATTTCAAGCGTTTTATTGTGGGATCGGAAGATGCTCGAAGTCCTGGTAGTTCCTGGGTTGCTCTTGAAGAACTCAAACTAAGTTACCGTAATAATGGGTATATAGCAAATGATAGGGTTTCCTTATTGCAGTAACTTAATTTAAGTCTCTTAAGCCCCCTCCATTACCCCAGTTTGCATTTCATTTTCCATGTTCTTTTCCATTTGATTATCCATTATAGGGGTTAATACCCTAAACCCAACAGCAACCCAGTAATAATATGGGTATATGGTAAAGAATATGGTTTCCTTACTCTGGTAACTTTTACACCCCAAGCCCTCAAATAATGTGTTTCCATTTTCTTTTCCATTATCCCTATAATATTACCCCTAGAATCCCCATATAGCAATATAATACCAACTGCAGCTCCTTGACAGCAAGATATCCCCATTATCCCTAATAGTAGTTTCCAATTTCTTCCCCATTATCCCAATATCCCCAATATGCCTAAAGCAAAACCCTAAACCCTTAACCTTAAACCCTTAGCCTTTATCCCTTAACCCTTAAAATCCTTAAACCCTAAACCCTATATATCATATATCACCCTTTAAACCAGGTTCTGGCTCTCCTGGGCCATCCTGGTGTTTCGCTGGCTGGGAGGATGTCATTAAAGCTGGTCGGCAAGATAAAGAGCCCCTAGAGCTTTGCAAGACAAGTGACTGGGTTGTGGGTTTAGTGTCTAGGGTCTAGGGTTTAGGGTAGGGTCTTAAGGAACTTAAACTAAGTTACCATACTCAGGAAGCCCTAGCATTTTCTAAAACGAACCATATTATGTGAATTTAAAGTAAACTCTTGAACAGCAACCCAGTAGCCCTTCCCTAAACCCTATAAACCCTTAGTTAATTTAAGTTCTTTAGCAGCAACCCAGGTGAAGAGGAGCATAGGACCATCTTTAACCTTCTAACATAAATCCTTATATGATCCTAATATACTATAGTAGTTTCCATTTTCTTTTTCATTATCCCCAATTTAACCCCAATATAAGAACCCAGGTGAAGGAGAGCACCTAAACCCTAATCCCTAAACCCCAAACCCTAAACCTTAAACCCTTAGTTGCCTTAGTTGAAGTTTTGCAACCGCAACCCAGGTGAAGGGGAGCATAGGATCATCTTCAACCTTCTGACAGATATTTCTTGGCAGCGCCGGCACGTGCAACAGCTCACGGGGAGCCATGCCGCGTTCTTTATCTGGCCTTTCTGCACCTTGGGACTACGAGGCCTTGTTGGGATAGCGTTTTAAAGGGTTCTTGTTCTAGTTCTTATTAAGATGTAGTATATTGGCTTAAAGGGTTCATGTTCTAGTTCTTATCATGTGTTAGTATATTGTTTGACAGGGTCCTTGTTCTAGTGCTTACTAAGTTTTAGTATAGAAGGCATTAGGAAGCATATGCAGCAATGATCCAGGAATTGTGCTGGCCTTGACAGCCACTGCCTTGCAAGCTACCCTTTTGTTCTGTTCTCGTGGTGAACTGGCCGCGCTGGAGGTAGCGGGGCTCAGCGCAAACCTGACTTTCACCCCAGGGCAAGATGCTGGATTGTTTTTAAGGAGCCTGAGGTAGTTTGCCATAAGCCATAAGATGGGTATATACTAGATAGTAGGATTTTGTTTCTTTTTGTCAAGACCATGGTATTTCTAAAGCTTCCTAACAGTAACTTAGGATGACTATGTGGTGGGCGCGGACAGGTCCATGAACCAGGTATACTTGACAGCATTGGCAAAGGAGTCGCGCACAACGAAGGTAGCCTCCATAATGCCACCCACAACTGGAAGTTACTCGGTGAAGTATAACAGTAGTAGATAATGCATGTTACCGCATTCCTTATGGTACCGTAATTTGAGTCCCTAAAGCCCTTATGTGACCCCAAGTATACCCTCAGTTTCCATGTCATGTGGCATTTTCCCCCCATATCATTCTGTAGTTTGGTGGCTTCACTTACTGTAGGTTCCTTGACAACAACCCAGGCTACGGCATCCATGCCGTGGTGCCCATTAGTAGCATGGACCTGCCGCGAGTAGCAGAGGTGGGAACTTGATGAAATTTCCACCTATAATATCCTCATCGGGGATTGTATAGGGTTTATAGGGTTTAGGCGCTGCCCATATGGTAGGTTCCCAAAATTAGGGGTACCCAAATCTACTGTACTGAATCCTCCTTCTGGGGACCCCAGAAAGGTGCCCCTAAATTTGGGAAACCCCCATGTGCCCCAAGAGTCCCTAAGAACGCCCGATTTTGAGCCCAGGTAACTGTTCAAGGCCTTTGCAGGACCCAATCGAGCACCAGCTACCGCGTTCGCTTTCCGCCACAGGCCACTGGGTCCGTACCAAGCAGCCCCTATTTACCTTCTTGTCGATGGATCTGAAAGCAACAGTGCGCGTGATATTCGGTAGTTTCCCTAAATAATGGGACCCCAATATAGACCCCAATATATTATAATCCTTATTATGGGGACCCTCAAAATGGTACCCCTAATTTTGGGAACCCCCCATTTGTTCAGGCATAGGATTCATGATCTACCCCAGAACTCCAGGCCCTAAACCTTAAACCATATCTGAGTAGGGGTACCCCAAGGTAGAGCCCAAAATACTATAACCCTGATTGTGGGGACCCGCCAAAAAGGTATCACTGATTTTGGGAAACCTCTATATATATGTATGTATACATATAACTATAAATCTATTTTGTCATATGCAAGCAGGATCTTTTTGTCTTACTAGGCTGTTTGCAGCTAAGGCCAAGCTACCCTTGACCCTTCGGCTTAGCGATGCGGATATGTCTGACGGTGGCTGGGATCACCGGATTTCTTGGGGCAACTTCACTGATTTTCAGAGGATTTAGGAGTTAAGGGTTTAGGGTTTAGGGTTTAGGGTTGGTTAGGCTTACGGTGGTTTGGGGTTTAGGGTTTTGTGTTACTAGGGAATAAGGAATGTGTTACATAGGGGCCATATAGGGATTGTATTCCTTTCCCTACCAAAAAAACAGTAAGTTTAGGGCTTAGGGCTTAAACTAGCTAATAATTTCAGTCTTGCTCCTTGGCTTAGTCTTTACCTTTTGAAAGCTGACCGAATGCGGTAAAGCTTTTTGTTGCTACCTTCTGGGCGTGGGCGCAGTATAGGTACCTTGCCAGGGAGCGTAATCAGCGTGCCAGCGGCAGTCCAAAGATTGAACCTTACAGTTCTGTTCACGGATTTCCTGGTTGGTGCACCCCTCGATGAGCAGCAGATACAGCTGCCTCTTGCCCTGGTTTACACGTCAAATCTTACCCCTTGCAACCCAATAAGCTGCAGAAAGATGAGCATTTCCACCTTACAATCCCTAAAACATGAAAGTTCGGTGTTTCGGTGTTCTTTCTGCCTTGAGATCCCTTGAGGCTTGATGTGGACCCCTTGTCCACCTTTACCGTCTTTCAAGCCTTTTCATCGAAGTACCGTCCATGCAAAACTCACTGCCGCGCAGATCCTGACTGCCTTGCGTCATTCCGGGGTGTTGGAGGGTGCTCCTGGGTAAGCCCTAAGCCCTTTAACACTAGGGTTTAGGGTTTAGGGTTTTGGGTTTTGGGTTTTATAAACGCCAAGCATCAAGCCCTAAACAATTACTTGGGACTTAGCTTGGACGTTAGACCCTTAACCCCTTGGCATTCCCTTATACTCCTATTTCCGGTACCTAAGGGTTCACATAGGTTCACCCTCAGTAGGGGTCCTAAGTGCCACGTAGACAAGGGAGTCCTTCAGGTGCTACTTTGCCAAGCACCACCACACGTCCCAGGAAGCCGATGATGTTGGCATGGCAGCTGCCGATGTGGGTGAGAAGTTCAATGCCCAGCTATTAGGCTCCTAGGACTCCGAAGCCTAACCCTAAACCCTAAAACCCTAAAACCCTTAACCCTAAAACCCTAAAACCCGAAAACACTTAACCCTTAACCCTAAACCCCTATGTAGGGGTTAGAAACGAGGATGTGGGATTAGGGCTTCGTAGGGCTCTTGAGGAAACCTTTTGGGGTCCTGGATGTCTATAAGCAAAACTTAGGATTCAGGGGTGAGTGTTCAGCGTGTAGGCCTTGCAAGAAACAGAGGTGTTTTTTGGATCCTTCTCGGGGGCGGGGTGGGTATATAGGGAGACCTTATTCCTTCCTCTTAGGCAGCCAACCCAATCGGTATATACTTTCCTTTTCAGGCACCCTCGGCCCGAGTATATACCCTTCGTATATGCGCGCAGTCAGGTTTGAGAGGATGCCGCTCAGATTTCAAAAACTTGACCTTTGTATGGCCGAATATTGCAACCCCCAGATATAAGTTAGAGTCATGAGGGATTGATATTCTCAACTGAGCCTATACACCTCAACCTTACACCCAACATACCATATGAAGCGGTTTCTAAGTTTGTTTATTTGGTCACTCCAGATTGGAGGTTGCGTCGCAGACCCGAAGCGGGGCTCCGAAAACACCTGCACGGAGGAGCCGGTTAAGGGTTTAACGGGCTTCCGGAGGGTTAAGGGGTGCCAGGGTTTCTAGGGGTGTCAGGGTTTAAGGGGATTTATTGGTTTCGGGGTTTAAGGGGTGTCAGGGTTTAAGGGGTTTAAGGGTTGAAGCGGTTTTGAGGGTTCGAGAGGTTTTCAGGGTTTAAGGGGTTTAAAGGTGTGTGATGGGCTGGTGTTTTCGGTTCAAGGTGTTGGAGTTCAGGTTTTAAGTTTTCACCGAAGTTAGGACCGGGTGACAACCATAGTCAGGCTGAAACCTACAGTCCCTTATAGTTTTTCATATACATATATATATATATATGAGCCATAGATAGTCTACACTCCTAGTATCCCCCCTGACTAACCCTATAATAATCCCCTATATAGCTCCCTTAAAGGAGTTTTTCACTATAGCTTATATAGTATAGGCAACCTGAGCGTTTTGCAGCACGCCTAGCAGAGGACACTCGTGTGGACAAGCCACTTGGCTCTTTTGAAGAAGTGGGGTGTCTTAGGAGGATGATATCAGAGAGGACATGTAAGGAAGTTCATGCATAATTCTGTAGATGGGGCCACTTTTGTTTCATCTCTTTGCTTTTCAGATTATGAAAACGAAAATGCCTTAAGCCCAAGAGCCTGCAGAAAATCCCTGGCCCTAGGCCCTAAAGCTGAAACCCTGAATCCTGGACCCCCAAACCTAAACCTTCCCCCCAAGCCAAAACCCTAAGCCCTGGACCCTAAACCCGGGTTCCCGGACTGCAGGCAAAGGGCGGCCTTTCCGCTGGTAGTTCCGGACTGGCAAGGAGGGGTCCATGCGGAACTACTTCTGAGGCTGATCCGGAGTGATGGCCCACAGTGGCTACCATCAGAGGCCGCTTGAAAGTGTCAAAACACTTAAATGTAGATGACGGTCTGATTATCATTATTCCTTCTACGACTACTACTACTACTACTGCTACTACTACTACTACTGCTACTACTAGTACTAGTACTCGTACTCGTACATACTAGTACTAGTACTAGTAGTACTAATCCTGCTGCTGCTGCAACCCTCCTGCTCTGCCACTGTCACCACCGCGACCCCCACCGATGCCGCCACCGCCGCCACCACCGCCACAGCAGCCAGCCGCCGCCACCACCACCGCCACCACCACCGCCACCGCTACCACCTCAGCCCCAACCTCCGAGCCGCCACTTCCACCACCGCCACAGCCACCGCCACAGCTTCTGTTCGTCTGGCTGCAGTGCTTGTCCTGATGAGAAGGCATCCTAATCGTGCCCTGCGAATGACGACGCGCTAATTGCTGCTACCTACGACATCCAAATTTGCAAGCTCTGCGTAAGCACCCAAAGGTCGAACCCTTGGCACTTCGTCGGGGTGCGCCAATGGTCAGCGATGTCCTTGTGCATTTGTCAGGTGAGCTCGAAGACGACCAACGCGAGGAACTTGTCGAACAAAGCGTAAATTCCGTATGATGGTCTTGCTCTCTATTCATGTTAGTAAGGCCCTCTTTGCGAGCTGTCATGGCTACTGAGCTTTTCGTTTATGATTTATATGTGCTTTCGGTGTGTGGTCGCTGATTCACAAAGTTCTTCTGCAACGCGAAGACCAAGGGAGCTTTTGAGTAACAGTGCCAAGTTAGCGGTCTCTTCCCTCAATAAATTCCCTGCTCCCACTAAGCCTAAATAGTCCAAGTGTGAGTCCAAAACGAGCATGTCCGAGTCCAAACCCTACATTCCAAATCCTCGGCCGAGACTCAGCCCAAATCCATTAAGGGGTGAGGCGGAAAGGTTTCCGCGGATTTTAGGGGCAAGTCTCCACCTTCTGGTGTAGAAGTTCGGCTCCGGTGCTAAGGGTTTCAGATTTAGGGTTTTGACTTTTGGGCTTGGGATTCAAAATCTAGGATGTAGGGCCTAGAACTTAGAATCTGGGGCTTAGGCTTTCGGGGCTTTGAATTTATGGTACGGGTAGCCTTCAGTGCTTAAGTCTTAGGATTTCAGGGTCTGAGGGGTGTAGGGTTCAGGAATAAGGGTTTTTATGGTTTGGGACGTAGGGTTTGGGGATTTGGGGCTAGCTGTGTCCTTCGAATGGGCCCATACATGTTGAGGAGTTGAAGTGCATGGCCACAGTTGCTGATGATGGCACTGTCGTGCTCACAGTCCCTTGCTGAGTTCAGCAGAAGGTTTTATAGTTTAATCTTTTGAGTGTGCTTCTCTGCGCGAACTTGATGTTAGTCGCATTTCCAGTTTCTTGAATTCGGCATGACCTTAAGCGCCGCACGCCCCAAACTATCCCGTTGCCCCACTGGATTTCTACTTCTCAGGTGCACAAGTACGACCCTCTTCGATACACTTCATTACGGCTCCTCGTGGCACCCATCCTTCCAGATCGCCAATTCGAGGTAGGGTGCACCTTGTACGGTTCCTTCGCAGTATTGACAAGAAAGGGGTTTACCATGGTACTTCCGTCTAATGGTGAATAATGAGCGAAAAATTTGACCGAAATTATTCAGCAGCACCTGAGCTGTTTGGGGGTACTGAACTGTGTGAAGTCTTGCGGTTCAAAATCTTGTTCTGGTAGGCGGAAAAGCATTTTGTTTTCTGTTCCACGGGTAGGTTTCATCTAACTTTTCAGCCTCACGCAGAAATTCGGGTCCTCATCCAAGCTGCTCTTACTAGTCTTTACATGGAGTTGCTTACCTCAAACTCAAGCTTCAAGATCTCAGGTTTCAGGCCTATTGACTGTCTTGAAAACCGCTCAGTCATCTCTGCAAGGGGGGGTAGTCCAGCAGCTACTTACGTCCTCTATCAAAACGTGTGTGGGGTGCTGACTTATCTGTAATTTTCGGGCCTCCTACAGTATAATAGGGATTCCAAAAAAGCATTGAAACAGGCACTAAGAGTTGCAACGCTGCTCTCATTGAATGCAACTTGAAACAGCATCTACTGAGCTTGGCAACTCCCCCCAGATCTGGGGGCCTGTTTCTACACACAGTACGTGCTGATAAACAATAATAATAACACGCCTATAGAGATACATGGCTGACATGCACATATATGAATAACGCGGCATTCCTCGCCACTACTCTACATAGCGGGGCCCCAGCGTTTAAATCAAATAACACCCATCTAATGTAGAAGCTTGAATAACTGCCGATGGTCGTAAACTCTTGCATAATTACAGAAGAGGGTGCCTCAAATAGACCTTAGAATGGCTAGTTAGTTATTCAGGTTCTTACATGATGCGTGGTTTTTTATCGGTCATAGGAAGTATGTAAAGCATGGACATTGGATTCGTGACGCAGGGGTCTTGATTGGAAAACGATAACGCGCTCACCAAAAATGATAACGACAACATATACACCGCAAATTGGAAACAATAACACACTCACCAATTTTCCACTGACCAGTTGCCCAGACCTGGAATAAAAACCGTGCATCACATATTCCTGTAGAGGGACCCCAACCCCCTAAATTCCGCGTGTGAACCCTGTCTTGAACAATCACAATGTGTTTCTGCGTTGCAACCTATGTGATCCTTGCGGTAAGTACCTAGAAGAACGAAACACATTAGACCATTAGACTGGGTTGCTGTTAAGGAACTTGAATTAAGTTACTATATTGGGGAAACCCTATTAACCTATTATTTACCATATATGTATATATATATATACCCATCATGGTAACTTAAACCCTAAACCCTGAACCCTACATAACCCCATTATAGTAGTTTCCATTTTCTTTTCCATTATCCCTATATATACCCATTATAGTGACTTAATTTAAGTTCCTTAACAGCAACCCAGTAGACTTACGAGTACCTCTGCGACAACATGACCTCTTAGAGCCACAACGGAGCCCTAAACCACGGGCGTCCCAAAGGCCAAAGTCTTACTTACCCCTACATACTTTTCCCCTAGGGTTTAGGGTTTAGGGTTTAACCCTAAACCCTAAAAGCTAAACCCCTAAGCCCTAAACCCCTAAACCTGTTGGGATTCTAGGTGTCCCCAATCAGCATATATGTCCCTCAGCTCTCAATCCAAAGCCTTGGGCTTCTGAACCCTGAGGCAAGAGCGACCCCAAACCCGGAGCCCTGATAGTTTCCTCAGCCCTCAGCACTCTATATAAGGATAATGGAAGATAAGATGGAAGCTACTATAGTATATTGGGGTAGTATTGGGATATTACATCTGATGCTTTAGAGTAAGCGTTTCAACTGAAGAGATGTGTTTTTCATTTTTTTTTGTCAGGTTCGCTGGCTCACAAATACCCTTCCAGGCAGGGCATATTGCAATTCTTAAGGCTCGCAATGGCCGAGGGGTCTAGGCCGTTGGGTTTCGGATCTTTTCTTAGGGCTTTGGGTTTCGGTCTAGGCTCGTCAAAAAGGTGGGGCGGCGCTACTTCCGACTTGAGCTTCTTTTGTTTCTTCTTCTCCTCATCATTCTCTTTGAGGTTACGCTCATATGACGCCGCTTGAACCAAGTACCAAGAACCTTGCACCAAACAACTAAACCCCAACTGCAACATCCAAGCCCTAAACCCGTAAACCTTAATTTTAAACCCTAAACCAGGAACCCTAAACACTGCAGCCTATAGGCTCAACTTCTAACTCAAAATCCGACGTCCTAGGCCTGCTGAGCACCCCTCCTGCTGAGCACCCCTCCAAGCCGTTATGTATGGAGAGCCTAAAGACATGGCTGTTTTAGTGTTTTTCAGATGAGGTTTTGGAGATTATAGGGCTTAGGGATTAGGGTTCAGAGATTAAAGTGTAGAGAGTAGCGGTTTAGAGATTATAGGGATTAGGGTTCAGGGTTTAGAGATTAGGGTTTGGGGGCCAAAAGTATGATCTATAGAATCCCCACGCAGGTCATGTTTTATCGTGTTTGGTTGTTTGTGTCCCCATATATCCTAGTTGAAAGCTTGGGTACGGCACCCCCAGCTTTGCGAACCTCCCACATGTTTAACAACCGCGCTCGTCCGCAGAGACGGCCCCAAACCCGCCAGGGCTTCCTCCTTGTTTTGTCTACAACAACCAAATGTCAGTATAATGGTGGTATACTAGGGATATAAGAAGACCCTGATATAGTCCCCATTATCCCTTTTGGTCACTATTACTGTCATGAACATGTATTTTGAAAAGGGTTCAGGCCGGTATTGGGTGTCAGGGTCCAGGGTTTGGGTGTGGCGTAATGGTAAACCTCTTCCCCGCTCACACCTCCCCAGCCACAATATTCAGTCCTTCCTGTAGAAACTCAAGTACATTGGGGGACCTGTGTACTATGAGGGGTTTGGGGTATGATTGCAAGAGGCTAGGTGCTCATGTATCATCCTCATCCCCAACCACACGAAACATCTCAAAAAAAATGTCCGTGGCAAGGAAGATAAAAGGTTCAAGTACCTGAACACCATACAAGTCCTCATGCGTACCCAATTACTTGGTTTTCGCACGCTCTGACAACGTGGATAAAGGCCTCCCTCCCTGAAATCTTGCCTGCTTTCTTCTAAAGGGGCCTCCAAAATAGTTTGTAATTTTTGCTGAGTATAATCCTAATAACAACCAAAAATTAAGATTTTTAGTGGGGTTCTGAGTCCAGTTTAGTTCTTGGGTTCGGGATTCAGGTTTAGGATTCAGGACTTAGGGAGTAGCAGTGACGGCTTATGCTGTTGAAGGAAGGGTTATTATGTAATTTCTTCCCACAGCAGGGTCGTGCAGATCGTGCTCCCAATAACTTTTAACAAGGACCCTCAGTTGTGAGACATGTGCATAACGGACTGTCATCTTGAGAAAGACGGGCAGGAACCTATGGCAATCCTACAACTCTTCATTCAGGGCACAACTTGCGCGAGGCCTTCGATCCTACCACAAGAAAGGGGCATTTCCTGAATTTGCCCGCTGCCGAGCTGCTGGGTTCGCAAAGACACTCCACACCTCAACCCAGTCAAGGGTTAAGGGAGTAGCAATAATAGAAATAGTAGTACTTATAGTAATAATCCTGATAACAATAACAGAATAATAGCACTGATAGTAATAAGGGTTTAGGGTTTAGGGCCCTAGCCTCCCCAAGAGGATCTCTACAGAGTTAAGACTCAGCTTTCGGGCCTCAACGTTCTTTAGGGCTAAGAGGCTCATTTGGGTGCGACTTGAGGTTTTAGGGTAGTTCTAAGCCATGGCATAATGAGGATAGCTATAGTTACTAGCTAGGCTGACTGAAGTAGCCCTACTTTTGCAACTGCCAAGGAACCTTCGAGTAGGTCCCCCCAAAGATGAGGGAAAGTTGATGAGCAGAGTCTGCAAAATCATTGCGTCTCCCGGGGGTTTTGGGTAATCTTGGGTTGGATTGGGATAATGGAAAATAAAATTCAAACTACTATATTATATAGGGGTTATATTGAGGTTGACTTTAAAAGGCAAATTTTCCAGACCTCAACCCCCAGGGGTGGTTTATATGGAGAATGGTCCTGAAACAGCCCTGCCC